TTCTCAGGTCACAATGGCATGAAAGTAGAAATCAATTTAAAAAAAAACATGCAAAGACATTTAAAAACATGGAGGCTAAATAGCATGTTATTAAACAATGAATGGGTTACCAAGGAGATCAAGGAAGAAATTAAAAACTTCCTAAAAACCAATGAAAATGAACACACAACAACACAAAATCTATGGGATGCAGCAAAAGCAGTTCTGAGGGAAGTTCATAGCACTACAGGCCTACCTCAAGAAACAAGAAAAATTTCTAATTGACTTTCTAACCTCACACCTTAAAGAATTAGAAAGTAAACAAAAAGAAAACCCCAGAGCAAGTGGAAGGAAGGAAATAGTAAAGGCCAGAGCAAAAATAAAAGACATAGAGAACAAAAAAACAATTCAAAGGATCAATGAAAGAAAGAGCTGGTTTTTCGAAAATTAAACAAGATTGATGGACCCTTAGCTAGACTCGCCAAGAAACAAAGAAAACCCAAATGCACGAAATCAGAAATGAAAGAGGAGAAGTAACAACCGATACCACAGAAATACAGAAGATCATTAACAGCTACTATGAACAATTACTTGGCAACAAATTCGACAATCTAAGTGAAATGGACAAATTTCTAGAAACACAGTCTCCCAAAACTGGGCCGGGAAGAGATAGAAAACTTGAGCAGACCAATAACAACTAAGGAAATTGAAGAGGTAATCAACACTCTCCCAGTAAACAAAAGCCCAGGCCCAGATGGCTTCATGGGGGAGTTTTACCCAACATTCAAAAAAGAACTAACACCCATTCTCCTCAAACTATTTCAAAAATTCAAATAAAAGGAAGTCTTCCAAACTCTTTTAATGAGGCCAACATAATTCTATACCAAACCAGAAAAAGACATTACACAGAAAGAAACACAGGCCAATATCCCTGATGAACAGAGATGCCAAAATTCTGAGCAAAATACTAGCAAATCGGATCCAGCAATACATCAAAAAAATTATTCACCATGACCAAATGGGATTCATCTCAGGAATGCAAGGTTGGTACAACATTCGCAGATCAATGAGATACACCATATAAACAAAATGGAAGAATAAAAACCACATGATCATATCAATAGATGCTAAAAAAGCATTCGACAAATTCCAGCATCCATTTCTGATTAAAAAAAAAAAAAGCTCAGTAATGTGGGAATAGAGGGATCATATCTAGACATAATAAAGGCCATATATGATAGACCTACAGCCAACATCATACTTAATGGGCAGAACTAAAAACATTTCCCTTAAGAACAGGACCAAGATAGGGATGTCCACTTTCACTACTCTTATTTAACATTATACTGGAAGTCTTAGCCACAGCAATCAGACAAGAAGAAAAAATAAGAGGGATCCAAATTGGAAAGGACGAAGTGAAACTGTCATTATTTGCAGATGGCATGATACTATACATAGAAAACCCTAAAGACTCCATCAAAAATCTACTAGACTTAATAAATGAATTTGGCAAAGTAGCAGGATACAAAATTATCGACAAGAAATCGACGGCACTCTTATACACCACTGATGAATTCACAGAAAGAGAAACTGAAAAAAACAACCCCATTTACCATCGCGGTCAAAAAATTAAGATACCTACGAATAAACTTAACCAAGGAAGTAAAGGACCTATTTGCAGAAAACTACAGGACATTGAAAAAAGAAATAGAGGAAGATATAAAAAAGTGGAAGCACACACCTTGTTCATGGATTGGAAGAATTAACATCATTAAAATGTCCATACTGCCCAGAGCAATCTATAGATTCAATGCAAGCCCCATCAAAATACCAACGACATACTTCACAGAACCAGAACAAATACTTCAAAAGTTCATATCGAACCAAAAAAGACCCCAAATAGCCACAGCAATTTTGAAAAAGAAGGACAAAGTAGATGGGATCACAATACCAGATATCAGGTTATACTACAAAGCGGCTGTAATCAAAACAGCCTGGTACTGGCACAAAAACAGACATATAGACCAGTGGAACAGAAGAGAGAGCCCAGAAATGGACCCAAGACAATATGCTCAATTAATATTTGACAAAGGTGGCAAGAGCATACAGTGGAGTAAAGACAGCCTCTTTAATAAATGGTACTGGGAAAATTGGACAGCTACATGCAAAAAAATGAAACTAGACCATCAACTTACACCATACACAAAAATAAACTCAAAATAAATAAAAGACTTAAATGTGACTCGTGAATCCATAGAAATTCTAAAAGAAAATGTAGGCAACAAAATTTTGGACACCACACGCAGCAGAATTTTCACTGATACATCACCTAAGGCTACAGAAATAAAGAAAAAAACGAACACATGGGACTAGATCAAACTAAAGAGCTTTTGTACAGCAAAAGAAACAACCATCAAAATGGAAAGGCAACCCACTGTATGGGAGAGCATATTTGCCAATGATATATCAGATAAGGGGTTAATTTCCAAAATATATAGAATGCTCATACAAGTCAACAATAGGAAGACAAAGAACCCAATATAAAATGGGCAGAGGAGCTGAATAGACACCTTTCCAAACAGGACATACAAATGGCCAAGAGACATATGAAGAAATGCTCAACATCACTAATCATCAGAGAGATGCAAATTAAAACAACAATGAGGTATCACTTCACACCTGTCCGAATGGTCACCATCAACAAATCATCAAACAAGTGTTGGCACGGGTGCGGAGATAAGGGGACAATAGTGCACTGCTGGTGGGAATGCAGACTGGTGCAGCCACTATGGAAAACAATATGGTGTTACCTCAAATAATTAAAAATTGAACTTCCTTTTGACCCAGTGATCCCACTACTAGGAATATACCCTAAGAAGTCTGAAATACCAATCAGAAAGAATATATGGACCCCCATGTTCATAGCAGCACTATTTACAATAGCTAAGATCTGGAAACAGCCCAAGTAGACGAGTGGATAAAAAAGATGTGGTACATATACACAATGGAGTACTATGCAGCTATAAGAAAGAAAGATCTCTTATCCTTTGAGACAACATGGAGGGACCTGGAAAATATTATCCTAAGTAAAACAAGCCAAGCAGAAAAAGACAAATACCACATGATCTCACTTATATATGGAATATAATGAATATAACAGTCTGAGGAATAGGGTAGACCCAGAAACACGGAAGTAGGGTACAGACTGACAACCCTCAGAAGAGGAGGTGGTGGGGGTTGGGAAGAGATAAACCACAGAACTTATATGCACGTATGCATAACCAATGGACATGGACAACAAAGCCGGTGACGGGGCGAGGGGGGGATGGGGAAAAGGGTGTCAATGGGGTAAAAAAGGAGAAACATCTCTAACAAAAATAAAATTAAAAAAAATAAATTAATTATAAAAAAAACAAAAACAAATTAAGACTGTCTGCTTAACCCTGGCCGGTGTGCTCAATGGTTAGAGCATCTGCCCACACAGAAGAGTCTTGGATTCAATTCCCAGTCAAGGACACGTGCCTGGGTTGCAGGTTCAATGCCCGCCCCATACAGGGTCGTTCAGGAGGCATCCAATCAATGTGTTTTTCTCACACTGATGTTTCTCTCTCTCTTTCTCTTCCCCCCTCCTTCTACTCTATCTAAAAATCAATGGAAAAAATATCCTTGGGCAAGGATTAACAAACAAACAAACAAAAATGTCTGCTTACTTCGGATTACTAAATTGACAAACTCTAGATCTGCTCTACCCAAATCAATAGCCACTAGTCACATGTAGCTACTGACACTTGAAAATGTGGCTACAATTACTGAGGAACAGAACTTTTAAATTTTTATTTAAATGCAGAAGCAGTACTGAATATAAACTCTATTGTTTTGGTAGAACACCACTGCATTTTAACAAGTACATTGCATAAATTATTGTATTTAGTATAGTAGATGTACTTTTTTTTTTCTTTATTAATTTTTTTTTTTTTTTGAGAGAGAGGAACGGAGAGGGAGAAAGAGACAGAAACATTGATGAGAAAGAACATCAACTGGCTGCCTCCTGCATGCCCCCCATGGGGGATCAGGCCCACAACCTCATCATGTGCCCTGACTGGGAATCAAACCAGTGACCTCTTCATGCATGGGTCGACGCTCAACCACTGAGCCAAACTGGCTGGGCTATTTCTTACTCTTTTAATGCAGCTACCAGAAAATTTTAAGTTATACATGTGGCTTGCATCATATTTCTTTTAGACAGTATTGCTCTAGAACAGTGGTCCACAACTGGGGACAGTTTTGTCCTCTCAGTGACATTTGACAATATCTAGAAACAATTCTAGTTGTCACAATTTGAAAGTGCTATTGGCGTCAAGTGGGTAGAGGTCAGGGATGTTACTAAACATCTTACAATGCATGAGATAACTTGCTTTGGAAACAAAACATACCTAACCACCACCAACACCACCACACCACCACCTCAGTTCTCTTATTAGAATACAACTGAGAAATGTATACAGTTGTAATGAAGGGGATGAGATGGATGACATGGTGGTTGATGTTAACAGAAAAGACTTTTGAGGAAGATGAAGAATTTGCAATCATAGAAGATGGCAGGTATTATTTTAAAAGGCAAAATCAAAAGGATGAGAAATACATTTTCTTTTACTGTTTAAATAAAGAAAAAAACTACCATCAACAAAATGCATATAAGAGTGAGTGAGAAGTCTCAGGCTAGTCAGGACTGGAAACTCTTGTAATAATTTAGAGAAAAGGGTCCAGAGGCCTTAAGCTAAGGATACTGCAGTTCAGAAAGAAAAAAATTAAACAATTATCCCTTAATATTTTGAAAGCTTTTCTTGAAACATCTTCATTATATACAGCATATAAACATATGTTTAAGATGATAAATAAGCATTATGATGTGTTTAAAATTTTTAAAAAGGAGATGATAATTTTTTATTAATCGATAGTCCCAAATAAGATAAGACTAAGTTTCGAGCTAAGGCTGAAAAAGTCTTTTAGGCAGACATTACCTTTCTGTGTCAAGTGCCTCCTCATTTTTCATCCATTTAATGGTTGGAAGAGGAAGTCCGGAAGCAACACATGACAATACTGCACTCTGACCAATGACTCTGACTAGGGAAGAAGGTTGTTTCAAAAATACCAAGTTTGATGTGACCTCGGGATCTAAAAAACAAAAAATTTAATAAAAGATAATGATTAAGAAAGTACTTTACCACTTTAAAGATGAAGAATGACAAATTCCTATTCAGTCTGAATGGCTTTATATAACCAACTATTTTAAGCAAAAGTGACACAAGAAAATTCCATTTAAATAAGCAAACAATTCTTTTCATTTTTGTTTTTTTATCCTCACCCGAGGACATTTTTCCATTTTTTGTTCAGACAGAGTGGGAGGGAGAAAGAGGAAGAGAGAGAGAGAGAGAGAGAGAAATATCGATGTGAAAGGGACACATCGAGTGGCTGCCTCCCGCACGACCCAACCAGGGCCGGGAACAAACTGCAACCGAGGTGCGTGCCCTTAGCGGGAACCAAACCCAGGCCTCTCTGGACCACAGGCTGACACTCCAACCACTGAGCCAAACCGGCCAGGGCAAACGTTTCCTAAATAACTTTTATGTGCAAAGCACTGTCCTAGGTTCTCTAGGTTCTTGAAGATGTGTAAGTTATAACTCCTGCCTTCAAGGTACTTAACTAGTTAACTGAGGGAGGTTTGACATGAATCCCCTTTATTTTAAAAGATGGGAAAAAGCAAATGGCTCATGAGTGGTACAAACCAATAAGAGACTGAGCAAACTCAGGACCCTTAGCAGCATCCTCCCCACTCCCAGTGAAAGGTTTCCTTTCCTTCCCTGTACTCCTGAAAATCTTCTGAGTTTCTTCTCTAACTTGGTTCACTCAGTCTGTCAATCCTTTGATTTTATAACCGTGCAACTATCAGGCTACCACTATATAGATGTTCACTTCATATAGTTGTTCTTAAGGACATATGAAAAGCCACATTCTTATGGATAAAAGGTAGGTTCTCCAAAGTTTTGATGGTGTAATATTTCTAATGTTAATTAATGAGAAAAACAAATTCTCAGGCAAAGAGATGTGACTCCTGTCCCCATAATCTTAGGAAAAGATGTTTTATAGCCATGGTAACAACCACCATATCTGGCTTTAAACTTGTGAACCAAATGATGATGATTCTGTAGTCATGGTAACAAGTAAAAACTGTCTAATAGATCAGCAACAACTCACTTTAATGAACATGTCTTTGGAAGCCAACCAATCAGTGACAGCTTCAGGCTTTTAATGTCAGCCGTTCAGCAGCAGAATCACTTGCTTTTAAGACTGACATTAACCTGCTCCCACCTCTAATCAACCATAAAACATGCTTCTCTGACTGACAGTGACCCACCCCTGTGCCTTGGAACCAAAACACCAAAAACAATGTCTTCCTCAAAAATTCTGTAAGAGAACAGAAATTTGCATTATTCAAGAAGACTATACTTCTGAATAAAATTTAAAAATGAAAAAAAAAGTAAACAGAAGCATATACTATGCTCAAGGATAGCAAAAATTAACATCATTTAAATCTCCACACTACCCAAAGCAATCTATACATTCAATACAATTCCTCCCAAAATACCAATGGAATATTTCACAGAACTAAAACAAATAATAATAATCGAAATATGTATATGGATTCATAAAAGGCCCCAAATAGCGACAGCAATCTTAAGAAAGAAGAACAAAGATAAAGGTATCACACTATCTGGTCTCAAATTATACTAAAAGGCTATAGTAATAAAAACAGCATGGTACTGGCATAAAAACAAACATGGATCAATGAACCAGAATAGAGAGCCCAGAAATACACCCACACCATTATGGTCAATTAATCATGACAGAGAAGGCAAGAATATTCAATGGACTAAAGACAGTCTATTCAATAAATGGTGTTGGGAAAACTGGACAGATACATGCATTAAAATGAAACTAGACCATCTTCCAGTACCATATACAAAAATAAACTCAAAATGGATTAAAGACTTAAATGTAAGACTCAAAACCATAAAACTCCTAGAAGAAAACATAGGCAGTAAAATCTCTGACATTTCTCTTAGCAGTGTTTTTTCTGATATATCTCCTCAGGCAAGGGAAACAAAAGAAAAAATAAACAACAGGACTACATTGAACTAAACAGTTTTTGCACAGTAGAGGAAATCAACAACAAAACAAAAAGATAATCTATTGAATGGAAGAACATATTCATCAATGATACATCTGATAAGGGGTTAATATCCAAAATTTATAAAGAACTCATGCAACTCAAAACCAAAAAATCCAATTAAAAATAGGCAGAAGAACTGAATAGACACTTCTTCAAAGAGGACATGCAAATATGGTCAACAGACATATGAAAAGATGCTCAATATCACTAATCATTCAGAGAAATGCAAATTAAAACCACAATGAGCTATCACCTCACACTTTTCAGAATGACTATCATCAATAAGTCAATAAACAAGTGGTGGCGAGGATGTGGAGAAAAGAAAACCTTCATGCACTGTTGGTCGGAATGCAGATTTGTGCAGGTACTGTGGAATACAGTATGAAGGGTGCACAAAAAATTAAATATGCAGTTGTCTTATGACCCAGCAATCACACTTCTGGGCATATATCCAAAGAAATCAAAAACACTAATTTGAAACAATACATGCACCCCTATGTTCAGTGGAGTGTTATTTACAATAGCTAAGATATGGAAACAACCCAAGTGAGACGAGTGAATAAAAAAGTGGTGGAAGCCCTGGCCGGTTTGGCTCAACAGTTATAGCATCAGCCTGTGGACCAAAGAGTTGGTCACAGGTTCAATTCTGGTCAAGAGCACGTACCTCGGTAGCAGTTTGGGACCCAGCCCTGGTTGGGGTCATGCGGGAGGCAACCAGTAGATGTATCTCTCTCACATCAATGTTTCTCTCTCCCTCCACCCACTCTATTTGAAAATAAATTGAAAAATGTCCCTGGGTGAGGATTTAAAAAAAAAAAAAGTGGTGGCACATATATGCAATGGAATATTACTCAGCCATAAAAAAGAATGAAATCTTACCATTTGCTAACAGCATGGGGTGACCTAGACGGTATTATGCTAAGTGAAATAAGTTAGTCAGAGAAAGACAAATATCATATGATTTCACTTACATGTGGAATCTAAAGGACCAAATAAACAAAAAAACAATGTAGCTGGAGACTCACAGAGAACAGACTGATGTTAATCAGAGGGAAGGGGATTTGGGAGCCTAGGTAGAAAAGGTAAGGGAACTGATATATAGATTGGTAGTTACAAAACAGTTACAGAGATATCAAGTACAGCACAGGGAATATAGTTGATAATATTGTAATAACTACCTATGGTGCCAGGTGGGCACTATATGAGGAATATCAGGAGGAAAACTTTGTCAAGTATGATTGTCTAATCACTATGCTGTACCCCTGAAACTAATACAAAATAATGTTGAATGTAAACTGTAATTGAAAAATAAATTTAAAAAAAAAGAAATTGCCCACTGCAGAAGTAAAAACCATTAAATATCAGCAATTTTTGGTGGGTTATTATGGTTCAACTAAAAATAATCAATCATCTTTTAAGCATCACTAAAAAAAAAGTTTTGGTTTTCTTAATGCTAATCTAAAAAATAAACTTATTTCACATTTTATTATTAATGTATTAAATGTGGTACAAATGTGTTGTTATGAAATAGTCACAGGGATATAACATACAGTGTAGGGAACTAAAACAAAATAATATTGAATGTAAATTGTAATTGAAAATTAAAAGTAAAAAATTAAATAAAAAAAGAATGATGATGACCATGCTTGACAAGCACAGCTCTCCCTAAGTCAACAAAACATTCAGTATTGTGTTTTTGTTGTAGATATTGAGTGGTGGTTCATCCTTTGACACTGATAATCTTGTTTCCTTGGATCCAGTTTGGAGGATTTGATTGAATGTTACCCTGGGTATAAAGAACTATAAACTCTGCCATGTAAAAGCAAGTCAAGAAGTAGGCTAGAAGATACTGTTATCTGGCAATAGTTCTATTTTTTTTAAGACCTTGAAATATTTAGCTAGGTTTAACTGAATTTTGGTAGAAACAAATAAATTTTAACAAATATTTACTAATTACCATTCTTGGCATCAGACAAAATTAGTTATCCACATTGAGCTTATATACTAATAGGGGGAGAAATAACAAAAAGAAGATGTAGGATGGCCCTGGCTGGCTTGGCTCAACAGTTAAGAGTGTCAGCCCTCGGACCAAAGAGTCATAGGGTCAATTCTGGTCAAGGGCACATACCTCAGTTGCAGTTCGATCCCCAGCCCTGGTCAGGGTCGTGCAGGAGCAGGAGGCAACCAATTGATGTGTCTCTCTCACATCAATGTTTCTCTTTCTCTTTCTCTCCCCACCCCCCCTTCCCTTCTACTCTATCAAAAAAAAAATCAATGAAAAAATATCCTTGGGTGAGGATTAAAAAAAAAAAAAGATGTAGGATGTCAAGCTGACTGAATAGCTCGTTGGTTAGAGCGTCATCTCGATACACAAAGGTTGCTGGTTCAATCCTCAGTCAGGGCACATACAAGAAATCAACCAATGAATGCATAAATAAGTGGAATAAAATCGATGTTTCTCTCTCTCTCTCCCTCTAAGAGTTAATAATTATTTTAAAATTTTAATAAAAATAAAAAAAGATGTAGTATGTAAGGAGAAAGTGCCAGGGGCACAGGGGGATGGGAATGGAAGACTGTTGCTTTAAAGAGTGGTCAAGGAAGGCTTCACTGATAAAGTTATGTTTGGGTAGAGAGTAAGACAGTGAGTCAGGCAGATATCTGAGGAAAGAGGATTAGAAAAAAATGACAAGCAGAAAGGCACAAAAGCAAGAGCATGTTTGGAGTGTTATAGAAACATAAGGAGGCCACAATCACAGAATGAGGGAGAGAAAAGTATAAGATGGAAGAAGAGAGATGGGGTAGGGAGGTGGCATAAAGTTTATGTATAAAGCCTTACAGGCCAAGGATTTTAACATTTATTCTGAGAAAGGAAATCACCAGGAGGTTTTGAGCAAAGACATCACGTTATCTAATACACATTTTAAAACATACACATGGCTGCTGAGCTGAGAATACATTGGACAGGAATGACAAGGGCAAAGATGATGATGAAAAAGAAAGAAACTGCATTTGAAAAAAATTAGTTCAAGGCCCATCAGCAACACCATCAAAATCACTGCCCATCATAGTAGTCTCACTTTGCAAGCCAATCCATACACTAAAAATAAACCTATTAAGTCATTGTATATCCAAATGGCCCACACAATGTAGGGATGGTCCAATTATATTCATATACTCACATTTAAAATAAGAAACGTAGAAAGAATCAGGCACTTAGCAGTGGGAATAGAAGCTAAAAGGTCATGAAACATCAAGAGGCTAGAGGGACTACGATAAGCTACAAGTGAGAAAAAGTTAAGAGTAAGTTATACAGCTGAGAAAAGATAACACAAAACAAGTTATGAGGAAAGCCAGTAGGAACAGAGAGAGTGAGAACCCACAAAGGAAATATGGAAAGAAAAGCTAGGTTTACATTAAAATGGGGGAGCATTATAAAGATCCAAGAACTCTTGCTTACCAGTGTCTCCAGAGCTGCTATAGTAACAGCTACCACTCTGCCCATCTCTTGCATGACAGAGCCTGAGTGAGTCCCTAATTCTTACAAGTAAAAAGACCTAACTATAAAAAGTATTCTATTACAGGTAAGTAATCAAATTCAAAGAAGTATCCTATTGTAGGGAGGCCTGACAAAAAGAAACAGAGCTAATGTTTCTTTGTTTAAGAGGAATGCAATAGATATTGAATATACTTTATTACTTGATACATTTTACTCACAAATGAATTCATTAAAGTGTAGATCTTTCTTGTGTTTTCTTCCTTTCCCCCCTATAAAAAATTGAGACTCCTTATGTTGACATTAACCTGTCACACCACATATTTAACAGTATTCATTTAAAAAAAAATCTAAGAGAACAAATTTTACCCATCAATAAACATAAAACCATCAGTCCTGATAATAGAGGAATACCTGGAAGAACTTTTAATTCCGCTTCATCACTATACTTTGGTGGCCCACCACTTTCAACTACGCATCGATAAAGTCCCCCATCTCCCTCAGTTGTGTTGCTGATCACCAGTGTTCCACTTGGAAGTTTGATGACTCTATCATCCAGAAGAAGAGGCTGCCTGTTCAGTTCCCATCTCACAAATGGGACCAAATCTGCATTAACTTCACAATTCAGAATTGCACTGTTCCCAGCATAAACTGAAGAAGGTTCTGGCTGGCTGGCAAATCTTGGAAGACCTGGCCAAAAAAGAAAAAGAATAAATAAAATGTAGTTAAACATTACTTTAAAATGTAGTCATGGAGACCAGAAGCAAGTCAGCCCATGTGATCATATGTATGGTAGAGCTAGGGTCAAGAAGGCGGTTCATGAGTCAGGAAATTGACTACATACAGGATTACAAATCAAACAAGTAAATGTACTAGGGACATTTGGAGTCAGACTCCTCACAGTCAGAGAAGCATGGTACAAATGTGGAAAAGCAGAAGGCTGAATAAATCCCATTGTATTGGACTAGAATGGAGGTATCAGTGTAAACTTATGGTTTCATATAATTATAGATATACAAATATAGAAAGATGCATATATAGATATAAATGTACATATATATGAAATACATATGTTTCATATACAGTCATCAGTCCAGAGAGTCCAGAATTAATAATCAATATCACTCCAGTGGCAAATATATGATGATTTCTAAATACCATTCTCCATTACATGGAACCAATGCTCTTTGGAGAAATGACTAATTCTAGGACTGGTAAAGGGAAAGTACAAGATAGGTCTGGAATGTCTTATGACAGAAAAGAAGGAAGTACCCAAAGAACAATATGGATAAAACAATAGGACACAAAAGTCAGATTAAAGGGAGTTTCCTTTGGCTAAATCTGGGATAATGAATCATAAATGGATGTTAAAATTAGTAGGTAAAAGTTAAATGAGAAATAAGATATTCATAGGGAATCAAACTGTCTCTTCCCCAAATTCTTAAAAGTAAAAATACTTATCCATTTTACAGTGAGAGACATAGCACAGACTACCTTAATAATAAAAAAATAATTTCACCAGTAATGAAACAAAACATCACATGCTTCCTGGTATGAAGGATTGAGAAGAACAGAGTATCACTATGATCAATATTCCTCTCAAAAATGCAAAACCTGACTTAAAAAATCCATAATGAGACTAGGAAAAAGAAGAATAGTTTGAGATTAAAAGAGTCTAAAAGAGACAACTACTACGTAAAATATGTAATTCTGGACCTGAAAGGAGATAGGGGCTGGGAGAGTGGGTTAAATTTCCATGATTTTTGTGGGTTTTTTGTTTTGTTTTGTTTTTTGCTATTAAGACCAATTTACAGAACCAGTGAAATCCTAATGGTGTCTATGGATTGAATGATAGTATTATATCAAGGTTAATTTCCTAAAAATGATGGATGGTTATTTAGGAAAATGCCCCTTTTAGAAAATATACAAGGAAGTATTTATGTAGCAGAAACATCTGTAATTTACTCTTAATAGCTCAGAAAAACATTCAGAAAAAATTTATGTGGGTATTGTATATCAGAGGTGGTGTGATAAGGCAGATGTGATCTGAGTGAAGACTAAAATGGGGTTTCTTGTTTCATTCTTGCAATGATTCCATAAGTTTAAAATGACTTCGTAATCAAATATTAACCAAAAAATGCGGTCATAAATACTCTGTAGAGGCCACAGAATGCAGTGGTGGAGAGCATGAGTTCTGGAGTCACATAATCTGCATCTTAATCCCACCTTCACCACTTGGTTCGTGATTGTGTGATGTTGGCAAATTACTTAATCTCTAAGCCTCAGTTTCTTCATTAGTAAAGTCAGTACAGTAACAGGACTCATAAAGTTGTTAAAAAATTTAAACATTTAACTAATTAAATGCTTAAATAATTCACATGTACCATATTGCCAGGCACATAAATACTCAACAAATATAGTATTACTACCAATAAAATCTAACAATATTACCAACAATAATATCTAAAAGGTGACTCTGACATGCTCAGAATACAACAAAATGTTTCTTTAATCTTTAACGACTAACAAATTATGAGAAACAACTAGAGTTCTTCTAGTTTTATTGTGGTTAATTAGTTCATATGTAAATGACACACATTTACAGGTTGTCCAACTGTGATACAAATTTTTATTTTTTGTTTCAAGGGGATTTTTGAAGAAAAGAAACAAAGATAAAATTGACAAAATATCCACTTTTCAGAAACTAGAAAATCAGAAGAAAGAAAATAACAAAAATAAACACACAGCCTGGTTGGTGTGGCTCAGTGACTACCTGAGCATCAACCCATGTACCAAGAGGTTGCCGGTTCAATTCCTTGTCAGGGCACATGCCAAGGTTGTGGGCCAAATACCCAATGGGGAATATGCAGGAGGCGGCCAATTGATGTTCTCTCTCATTAATGTTTCTCTCTCTCTCTCTCCCCCTCTCCCTTCTTCTCTCTCTAAAATCAATAAAGAAAAAAATTTAAAATAAATAAGTAAATGCACAAACTTACAAAGGAAAAAAAAAAAGGAGTCTGGAATAAAACCAAAAGCTAGTTCTATTTTTTTTAAGTCAAAATATTCTTCTTTTTTAGGTCTCATAAAAATGAGCAATTTTTAAAAACATAAATGCACAACTACCTATGGGAAGTCAACAGACAAAAATTTCAAAAAGTTTCTGAATAGAGAAAGCAGATGGAGGAACTAGTAACTGATGCTGAGGCTTCAGCTCCTCATGCTCATAAACAGAAAGCCAGTTTGTCCTGCTGCCTCAGAAAAATTGCAGGACAAAAGAGAGATAGTGGGAATGGAGCTGCCAAGAAGGGATTAACAATGTCTGTATTTAGCCCTGGCCAGTATGGCTCAGAGGTTAAAGCATCGGCCTGTGGACCAAAGAGTCCCAGGTTCGATTCCGGCCAAGGGCCCGTACTTCAGTTGCAGTCTCTCCCGGCCCCGGTTGGGGTCATGAGGATGGCAACCAATCAATGTGTCTCTCTCACATCGATGTTTCTTTCTTTCTCTCTCTCTCCCAGTCTGTCTGAAGATAAATGTAAAACTATCCTCAGGTTAAATAAACAAGTCAATAAATAAATAAATAAAAACAATGTCTGTATTTAGACCACGCAATTCCCCACCTTTCAGCTCAAAACACAGTCAGGCTACTGCCCAGGTAGTAAAACAAAATGGTGTGCTGTGGAGAAATGAGACAGCCCAGAGAAAAAGATCACTCACATTTAATTCTATGAACTATCTACTTGATGCTCTTTCAAAAATTCTCCTTCTTGCTTGACTGGCAAGACTCAATTTCTTTTCTTATTTTTTTTTTTAAAGAATTAACAAACTTTTGCTTTTATTTCTCTGTTTCTTAACCCTATCGACTGTACTGTTGAGTTCTTTCCCATTTCCAAGAAAATCTTCTTCTAATGCCAGGTTCTCTAGTTCAGAATCAAAACTAAGCTGAAAGGTGTCCCATTTTGTTTTACACAGTAGCAAAACTCTACTTTTGAACTGAACCAGTACAAATACATGTGTGACCAATGTCATTGGCAAGCTTAGATGCTGAAGCTTATGAAACCTATCGAAAGAAACATCTGAAAAACTCCTAAAGAAAACAAGAATAAATTGCTAAATTATCCTAAGAGCCCAAAGATGCTACAGCTCTTATTCCTTCAGCACATCTGGGCCCTCACTAACTAGAATGCTGTCTGCTCTCTAATCTAACACAGTGTGAACAGTAAGCCTCACTTCCCACTCCCAGGGAGAAGCTGCTGGCCGTGGGCCTGATATGTGCCTGGATGTAAATCTGGCTCGGCCCTTTAATCCTCATCGCTCTCCACTCTATAGAACAGGGATAGGAAAAAAACTGGATCCTTGCTGTTGGCCCTGACCTAATATTTCAGGACTTTCAACTTGTTGGTTTCAGCATGTGCTCTGGGACCTGACAGAAAGTCATAACATGCAGGAACTCATAGCATGCTGGGTACCTGCCAGTACTCCAGGTACTGTTCCTGAACCCAAACTTTGGTGATGAGCTCCTTGGGCTCACCATGGGTGTAATGCTCCCTCCCAGCACATACCACCATGACATGTGTGTTCCTGTTGTAAGTTTGGTCTCAGGACAGCAGGGTGGGGGAACAGACTCTGAGTGGGCACAGAAGAATGCCCCACTAAGAAACGAAGAGACTCCATAGCACCCCACCCCACACAACCCCACTGTCAGACCAAGAATCTCCGACTGTGCCAGCTGTGCCCTGAGGAGTCTTCTTACTTCCACCATCAGGATATTAAGGGACAGGATGCCCAGGAGGAGAGACCCCTGTAAGACTTCAGAGTATCCCTATTTAGCAGGTCTGAAATTCAACTGTAAGACCTGAAAGCATCACTATTTAGTAGGTCAGAGCCGCCTAGAGTGTGTTTCTCTGCTGAAGCCATTCACATTCTCTCTTTACCAGGCCAGTTGGTCCCCATCACCCACCTCCTGCCCACACTCTGGATGCTGCCCAACACAAACCATCATGCCTCTTGGTCAGATGAGTAAGTTCTGCAAGCTTCAAGGAGACCATGGGGATGCAAGAAAGAACCAGAGCCTATTGGAGGTGCAGCTGTTTGGGGATAAGAGAAGGTGGTCATGTCTGTATTCTTATCTTTCTCCCTCTCTGCTTTATTCCCAAACAGCCTAGAGCATGTGTCTGTTGTTGAGTCGCCAAGTCCTCCCCAGAGCCCTCCAGAAGCCTGCTTCTGTTCCATCCTCACCCCTTCCATGGCAGCCCCACCATGGAGCCAATCTGAAGATGAGGGCTCCAGCAGCCAAGATGAGAAGGGGCCGAGCAGCAGAGAGGTCTCTGAAGATACTGAGTCCTTGCTCCAAGACGCCCTATATTTGAAGATGGCTGTCCTGGTGGAGTACCTATTCCTGAAGTATCATGCAAAGCAGCCAACTACAAAGGCTGAAATGCTGAGTAGCATCATAAGAGAGTACCAGGACCACACTTCCCGAGATCTTCAGCCTAGCCTCTGAATGCATGCAGCCCCTCTTTGGCACTGATATGGAGGAAGTGGACCTCAGCGACCACACTTATGTTATAGTCAATACCCTGTGCCTCACCTACTATAGGATGATGACTGATGAGCAATCCATGCCCAAGACCAAACTCCTGGTCATGCTTCTGAGACTGATCCTCCTAGAGGGCAACTGTGTCCCCTGAGGAGAAAGTCTGGAAAGCAGAATCAGTTTCTATTGCTTGTAACCAAAGAATTCTAATCAATAAATAGTCTTTTAGAATGGCAATTTGGAAATATCTTTTTCTTTTTTTGTTTTACTGATACAATTTATATAGTATACAGTTTATCCCTTAAAGTACACAATTCAATGGTCTTAGTATACGCATAGAGTTCTGCAACTATTACTATAATCTAATTTTAGAACATTTTCATCATCCCCCCAAAAAACCTTGTACTCACTTATAGTTATTCCCCATATCTACTCTCTCTCCACCCTCTATATCCTTGTCCTCTCATCCTCAGCCCTAAAAAACTATCAATCTACCTTTTGGCTCTCTCTATATTTACCTATTCTGGATTTCATATATATATTGTCATACAATATGTGGTAGTTTGTAACTGGCTTAAGTCAACATAATGTTTTTAATACATCCATATATTACAGTATATATCAGAACTTCATTCCTCTTCACTGCCAAATAATATTCCACATATGAATATACCACATTTTGGTTATCTATTCTTCACTTGATAGACATGTATGTTGTTTTCACTTTCTGGCTATCACAAACAATGCTGCTATAAACATTTATGTACAAATTGTTGTGTGATCATATCTTTTCTCTTGGATATCGGATACCTAGAAACGGCATTTCTCAGTCATATGGTTGGTTAACATGAGGAGGAACTTTCAAACAGTCCAGTGCTATTATTTTAAATTACTCATACACACAAAGTATACCCCATGATCCAGAAATCAGTAAAATTATTAAGTCCAGTAATTTATTCTATAGAAATAAAGATTTGCAAAAGGTTGTTCATTACAGCATTGCCTATAACAATGAGACAAGGAAAAAGAAGACTGGTATGAGATTGAAATAGTCTAAAGAAACAACTACTAAGTAAAACATGTAATCCTGGACCAGAAAGGAAAGGGGCAGGGGGTAAGTTTCTGTTGTTTTGGTTTGGTTTTTTGCTACTGAGATCAATTCCAATAACCAGTGATATCCATATAACTTTATCAAAAAGGGGCTCTTTAGATAATTTACAATATATCTATAAATGAATACGATGTAACTACTAAAAAACTTCTATCCACCTCTTAGCTTAGATATTATTTCCTCCTGATGCCCAGACCAAGAGCAGGTTAAATAACTCTCCTATAGAATCTTGTCTGCAGCCAAAAAAATTTACCATCTAGCAGAGGTGAAGAGAGCAAAGGGTAGAAAACTAGATTACTGGCCAGTGGGGAAGCCATGAGCAAAAGCCAGAAGAAGAGAAGGAAAGGGAATTGAAAACATGCAGCTGCAAATGTGGTGATGGTAGTGGAGGAAGGGGCCAGTAGTAAGAAATGAATCTGGAGCCCTGGCTCGTTTGGCTCAGTGGTTAGAGCATCACCCTGCGGTCCCAAGAGACCCGGGTTTGGTTCCCGCTAAGGGCACGTACCTTGGTTGCAGTTTGTCCCCAGCCCTGGTTGGGTTGTGCGGGTGGCAGCCACTCGATGTGTCCCTTTCACATCGATGTTTCTCTCTCTCTCTGTCTTCCTCTCTCTCCCTCCCGCTCTATCTGAACAAAAATGAAAAAATGTCCTCGGGTGAGGATAAAAAAAAAAAAAAAAATGAATCTGGAGAAGTGGAAGCCAGCTCATGAAAGGACTCCAGAGATCTAGACATTAACCTCATATTGTTATTGGAGAGTCACTGACGGGAGAAACAGTCTCTGACCACGGTGTGGAGATGGACTGGAGGAGGAAAAGGATGAGGTGGGTGACAGACAGTTACAAGGCTGGTTTATCTCTTCCTACCCCACCCCCTCCTCCTCTGAGGTCTGTCAGTCTGATCCCTACCTCCAAGTCTCTGGGTCTATTTTGTTCATCAGCTTACTTTGTTCATTATATTCCACAAGTAAGTGAGACCATGTGATATTTGTCTTTCTCTGACTGGCTTATTTCACTTAGCACAATACTCTCCAGGTCCCTCCATGTTGTCTCAAAGGTTAAGAGTAGACCCTTAATTTTTCTTAAACTTTCCATCATTCTTCAAAAAAGGATGCTCTACAAGAAAGTGAATGTTTCTCTCCTTAATATATATATAACCTCAATATATATAGCCTAAATTATTTTAAAATATTTTTTCTAATTAAATGTCATTTTCTTGGTTAAGGCACAGAGGAACCAAGATTCTAGCTATTCATTTTACAAAGCCATCCTAAATGGTTATGCTGGGTAGGATAAAAGTTAACAACTAAAGCTTTATGACTCAATTTTCCTATTAACTTCCTCTGTCATTTCCAAGTTAAAAAGAAAAAAAAAAAAAACTGGTTCAGTACTTCTGATAGCAACCTTAGCCATCTAAATCATCAGAAAATGGGAAGTACTATAGTTTATTCCCTATAGTACTGAGCAAGTCCTACATAGTACACAATCAACTAATACTTGTTAAATGAGTGTATCTGCTGTCACCAGTTAAATAAAAAATCTAGAATAATACAGTTTTTTATCAAGACTTATCCTTTATAAAACTTTGAATATACAAATAAACTACTTAACAAAACTTACCTGCTACTGTGAGCTTGGCTGTTCTGCTGACAATAGTTCCAAGACTCTCAACAGTGGCCACACACTGATAATAACCTTCATCAGGTTTATTGTGTTTGGAATGCACCACATTGCTGATAAATAAAGACCCATCTGAGAGAAGCTGGCGTCGATCATCTGATACTAAATTTAGAAATGTTCCATCTTTTTTCCATTCAATTTTTGGAGAAGGCTCAGAATATGCTGAACAGTTTAATACAACAGAAGAGCCTCTAACTGACAGTGTATCCACTGGCTCCACCAGAAAATAAAATGGAGTGAATGTTCGAATGCTGGATCCTACAAAAATAATAAAGAAAAAGAACAAAGTTACGCAAAACTTTCTTCCACTATTTCTGTAAGAAAATATAATGTGTCCAAAAATTATTTATAAATAGTTATGCTTTTGGGGTATGACATATAAATACAGTCATTTCACTATGAATATCTAATGAATAAAAATTATTTTTACTAGGAAATCAAAATTTCACACATTTAGAAGAACACTAGAATTATCGTCCAAGATGGTGATGGAGGAGGTGGACATTACACTCATTTCATCCCACATCCAAACTGTAATTACGACTTTAGAACAATCAACCTGAATAACCATCTGAAGAAAAGCTGAACAGAAGTCTTACAACCAAGGATTTACAGAAGCCACGGGGAGAATGGTAGAGAGGGCAGAGATGTAAAAAAGGCTGGCCATCTGAGCTGCAAAGTTGCCCCATGAGGAGCATGTGGTCTTAACCCCAAGCAGCACTCGTCAGCCCAGAGCACCAGAGCTGGGAAGAGGAGCCCACATAACATCTGACTGTAAAAATCACCAGGGATTCTGTCCACCAAAGAGAAACAAGAGTCTGCTAGAAACCCAGGCACTCTCTTAAAGGACCAGGGGCACAAAATCTTGTTTGCAGCCACTCACCATGGGCTCTAGCAGAGGTATGGCAGTTCAGAGCAGACTAGAGTCCTGCAAGGAGAGACTGGGCTGTGTGGCTCCAGGGAGAGAGCTGAAGGGACAGTCACCAGGGTCCCTGTGCTGAGTCTCTCTCCTACAGATGCCATCTTTCCTGGGTCCAGCCCTCCCCTCCATACTATATCAAACTGAAGAAATGCACTAGTCCCACCCTCTCAACCCCCTATTGTCCTGCACCGCCAGGCTTATGCCCTGCAAAAAAGTAAGCTGAATGTGTCCTGGCAAAGACTTTATTAAAAGACTCTCAAGGATGTCCAGGCAGACTGGAGGAGAGAATAAACTGTGTGTCTCCAAAGCGGGGCAATTTTTCCCTTGCATGTCTGACGGATGCCACTGTTTCTATGCAAAGCCCTCCCTACACACTGCCAAATCTTGGTCTGTTTGGCCTGATGAACTCTGCTGCCCTGGCCCTAATGACTCTGAGACCCTTCCCACCACAAAGGTCCATGTGCACCCAACAGGTGGCAGCGAGCCTTGGCATATCCTGAGACTTTTGCTGAGTGGCCTCAGACCCAGCAATGGTGCCAGGGTTGAATCTGTATCAACCTGGTGAGCACCACTCACTCCTACCTGGTGACTGAGAACTACCTTACGCAACTCATGTACCACCAGACACTCTTTCAGTGACTGAACCTAACAGGCAGCCAACAGGTGGAGGCAGATCTCAGGGTGCCTTAGGTCTTTTGCTGATCAGCCCCTGGGCTCCACAGTGGTGGAAGAAAACTTTGGTGTGCAAAGTTGGGTCCTTGGCCCCTCCCACACAAACCAAGGACCAGCAGAGGAAGCCACAAACTGTGGATCTCTTTATAGCTCCAAACAGGTGGCCCAGGGCAGATCACAGGCAGTGCCTGACACTGACCTGCAATGGGAGTCCCTCCCAAGAGGCCCCAGAACCAGCACACCTGCTGGCTGACTTCAGACCACATCACAGCATGGTCTAATTAGCTCCACAAGTGGCACATATCAGGCACTGCTGGGGCCAAATCCACTTTGTAGGGTCAGCCCCTGCTCAGAAGCTGGTCAGGGTCAATCCCCACAGTCAGGGAGCCCGAGGGCCAACCCCACTAACAGACAGGCCAACAGCAATCAAGACTAAACTACAATAGGAGATTTCACATAACCCACACATGAAACATTCCTGGAGCACCTTCCTTGGGTGATCAGAGAGACTGCAACACTGAGCCCCACAGGACACCTACCAAATACCAACACTAGGAGGCATAGCAGATCTACCTAATGTACAAAAACAAATACAGAGAGGCAACTAAAGTGGGGAGACAAAAAAACACATTCCAAATGGGAAAAAAAGAGAGAGAGAAATCCCCAGAAATAGAACTAAATGAAATAGGCAAGCAATCTGCCAGATACAGAGTTCAAAACAATGGTAATAAGTACACTCAAGAATCTTAGGTGAAGAATAGATGAACTCAGTGAGAATTTAAACAAAGAGATGGTAAACATAAAAAATAGAACCCCCCAAAAAATCTTAAGTCCTAAATAAAGAATACAATATCTAAAATAAAGAATGCATGTGAAAAAAATCAAAAGCAGGTTAAATGACACAGAGTATCAAATCAGTAATTTGGAAGACAAAGTAGCAGAGAGCAATAAAGCAGAACAGCAAAAAGAAAAAAATATTATAAAAAGAAAAGTCTCAGAATACCAGAAGGAGAGAGAGAGCAAGAGCAAATGATTGAGAATGACTAAAAACTTCCCTAACCTGGTGAAGGAAAAGATACACAAGTCCAGGAAGCTCAGAGACTCACAAACATCATAAACCCAAAGAGGCCCACACCAAGACACATCATAATTAAAATGGCAAAGGTTAAAGACAGAGAGAATCTTAAAGCAGAAAAAAAAAAAAAAAAAAGACAGTTAATTACCTACAAAAGGAGCTCCCATATGACTATCATTTGGTTTCTCAACAAAAACATATCAAGCCAGAAAGAACTGGCTGGCATCAAATATTCAAAGTGATGAAAAGCAAGAACCTACAACTAACACTACTCTAACTAGCAAGGTTCTCATTTAAAAAAAAAAAAAAAAAAAAAAAAAAAAATCGGAGGAGAAATAAAGAGCTTCCCAGACAAGAAAAGGCTAAAGGAGTTCATTACCAACAAACTAGTATTACAATAAACATTAAAGAGACTTCTTTAAAAAGAAGGGGGAAAAAGGAACACAGTTATAAAGAATAAAATGACAATACATACCTATCAATAATCACTTTAAATGCAAATAAATTAAATGTTCCAATGAAAAGACACAGGGTAGCTGAATGGATTAAAAAAAAAAACAAGATCCATATATATGCTACAGGAATCACACCTCAGAATGGAAAGATATACACAGTCTGAAAGTAAAGGGATAGAAAAAGATATTTAATGCAAATGAAAAAGAAAAAAAAGCTGAGGTAGCAATACTTACAACAGAAAAAATAAACTTTAAAACAAAAGATATAAGAAACATAGGTCATTACATAATGCTAAAGGGATCAATCCAACAAAAGAAAATAACCCTTGTTAACATTTATGCACCCAACACAGGAACACCTAAATACGTAAAGCAAAAACTGATAGACATAATAAAGGGAGCGATTGAAAGTAATAGTCATAGTAGGGGATTTTACCACCCCAGTGGCATCAATGGATATATCTTCCAGACAAAAAAAAATCAACTAGGAAATAGTGGCCTGAAAGAACACAAAAGACCAATGGATTTAATTTACAGCTTCAGAGCATTTCACCCCAAAGCAGCAGAATATATATTCTTTTCAAGTGCACATGAAACATTTTCTAGTATGGACTGCATGTTAGGACACAAAACAAGTCTCAATAAATTTAAGAGGATTAAAATCATACCAAGCATCTTCTCTGACCATAATGGTATGAAACTGGAAATCAATTACAAGAAAAATACTAAAAAACACACAAACAAGTGGAAGCTAAAGAACGTGTTACTAAAAAATAAATGGGTTACCAGTGAGATCAAAGAAGAAATAAAAAAATACCTTGAGACAAATAAAAATGGAGGCCAAAAAATTCAACAAAACAAACAGCTGTTTTTTGAAAAGATAAACAAGACTGATAAACCTTTAACCAGACTTATCAAGAATAAGAGAACGTACCCAAATAAATATAATTAGAAATAAGAGGAAAGTTAACTGACACCACAGAAATACAAAAAAATTATTTAAAACGATATCCCAAAATTGGACAATATGAAAAAAATAAATTCCTAGAAATATACAATCTTCCAAAACTGAATCATGAGGTAACAGAAAATCTAAACAGACTGATTAAAACTAACAAAATCAGCTCTGCGAGCCAAAAATTGCTCAGCGGTTAGAGCGTCGGCCTGCGGACCCGAGAGACTTGGGTTTGGTTCCAGCTAAGGGCATGTACCTCAGTTGCAGTTTGTCCGTGGTCCTGTTGAGTCATACAGGAGGCAGCCACTCAATGTGTCCCTTTCACGTCGATGTTTCTCTCTCTCTCTCTCTCTCTCTCTCTCTTCCTCTCTCTTCCTCCCAGTCTACCCGAATGGGAAAATGTCCTCAGGTGAGGATTTAAAAAAAAAAAAAAACTAACAAAATTGAAGCACTGATTAAAAATTCCCAACAAATAGCCCAACCAGTGTGGTTCAATGGTTGAGTGTCAACCTATGCACCAAGAGGTCGCCAGTTCAATTCCTGGTCAGGGCACATGCCCAGGTTGTGGGCCTGATCCCCAGTTGGGGAGCATGTAGGAGGCGCCATTATTGATAATTTTATTCTCTCTCTCCCCCCCACACACACACCCCTTCCTCTCTCTCTAAAATAAAGAAGAAAAACAAATTCCCATGAAACAAAAGTCCTGAACCAAATAGCTTCATGGGTGATTCTACCAACATCATTGAAGAACTAACAACTTTCCTCAAATTATTACAAAAGTAGAAGAGGAGGAAGGACTCCCAAGCTCATTTTACAAGGTCAGCATTATCCTGATTCCAAAGCCAGATAAAGATACTACAAAGAAAGAAAACTGTAGGTCAATATCCCTGATGAACATAGATGCAAAAATCCTTAACAAAATATTTTCAAACAAATTCAGAAATACATTAAGAAGATCATGCACCATGATCAGTGGGACTTATTTCTGGGATGCAAGGATGGTTCAACATCTGCAAATCCATTACATTATAAACAAAAAAAATGTTAAACCATATAAATAAAATGAAAGATAAAAATCGTATCATAGCCCTGGCCAGTTTGGCTCAGCGGTTGGAGCGTCGGCCTGCGGTACAGAGAGACCCGGGTTCGGTTCCCGCTAAGGGCACGTACCTCGGTTGC